TTTGATCATTTTGAATTTTTTTTAAACAATCTGACATCCATTTACCATAAACATTTGCTTTATCTTGATCAATTTTAATTAATTCATCTAAATTTTGTTGTTTTTGTTTTAATTCATTTTTTAAAAGATCAATTGTTATTTGTTTATCATGAATACTTTCATCATTTATACGTATATCTTCAGTTAATGATATTATTATTTTATCCAATTCGAGTTGTTTTTCTTGTCGACTAGAGATTTCTTGATCAATTTTTAAACGTTGTTGATCATTATTATCGGATTGTTGTTCTAGATTTTCATATTTATCCTAGAAAAATTTTTAAAAATGATTCAATATTTCATATATATCGTTTTTAAGAGCAAAATAATTCATCGATTTACGGATAATTAACAATAGTGTTAGGTTCAAAGATATAGGATGTCGAAACATTCATACTTGAGGAAAGAGACGTACAAAATGTATTCATAATGATATTTTCTCCTAGTTTATTATGAAACTATATATTTCAATTTTACTATGTCGAATAACAGAATCAAAGAAAAGATTATCACATTTTCATAATCAATCAAATAGAACATATTGTATCGAAAATTTTTCAACTTATATTCGAATCCAATTAGATTTGAGGAACTAATTTCAACATAAGTTCCGCAAAAATTGGATGTTTTTCTTTTCATTATTTCTTCAATGATGAATTCATCCCATACATTCTTGATATGTTTCTGTCGAGAGGAAAATATCAGACTTCAACATATATTAAAAGTTGTTACCAGTTCCTGCTGAATCAAAATGTGGAACACAATGTATTTATCGTTGCTAATCACAATGAAATTGTTTTATTCTATCGATTATGGGACACATTTTTTCACCATCATTTTACTTAATTCTCCAGCAATTCAATGATACGGTCTGTGATTGTATATCAACAATGTCTGTGGAGAAAGAATGTCTCAATTTCTACCCTAAACTTTAACATTTCTTTTAGGTCGTGTTTCACGAAAGCTATAGTTTTAAAAACTTCTAGGGGTAGAGCCCATCAGATCCAAGAAAATTTCGATCCGATCTTGGTTGAAACAGAATTTTCAGACCTGGACCCGATAGGCTCTACTTCTAAAATTTCAAGACTGCAATTTCAGTTGTTTTTTCCTCGTCTTCTGATCAATGGTGAGACTAGTCCATTGAGCCAAAAGTTAGACTCCAAACGATTCGATCCATGAATCCCTCGAAACAATTATCAGTGATAAGAACGTATATTTTTCAATTTTACTAAATTACAGTCTAATCGAGACCACTGAGCATCGTCTTTTTTTTTCTAGTCCTTCGAAGTCTATAGTCTAAGAAAACCTATTCTTACTGTCAATTTCTATATGTAAAATTGAAATAAATGCAAGCATTGTTTATAAAATCTCGGATAGATAAATTGTTAAAGTAATTCTTTTTTTTTTTTTAAATAAATCATATATCTTAAACAAATTGTGAAATAAATAACTAAAAAAATGACTTACTATTTGTTTTTGTAAATATATTTGTTCAAGTTCAACATCTGTTAAAATTTTACGGTAATTTTCACAGTCTTGTGTAAAAGAATGAATTTTAAATTGAATATCTTGTTTTTGTTTTGAAAAATATGATAATAAGTCATTTAAACCATTTATATCTTTTTCAAAATCATGTTTTTCTATTAAATAATTATCTAATCTTTGATCTATGTCAAGGATTTTGTTCTAAAGGACAAAAAAAACAAACAACAAACAAATTAGTTTTCGAAAATTTATTTTCCTGTTTTTTTTTTTTTTTATTACGTTTGTTTCAATAATTTGACCGTCAGTATCATCTTTAGTCTTTTTTATTTGATCTAATTCATATTGTACCTCAAATAATTGCTTAAATATCAAAAAGAAATAAATATTTAATTATCTGTTTTGTTATTTTATGAATCAAACCTGTCGTGCTTGATCAGCGCGAGCTGAAATTAGCTCAGCTTCTAATACATGCCTTTTTTCTTCATAATTACGTCTAAGTTCGATTTTTTTGACCTCTTGTTCTAAGGGTTCTAATTGTCGAAGCATATCAACATGTTTCTATTTTAGAAAAATCAATATAAAATAATTTGATTAATTAAAATAACCAATTCTACCTCTTTCATAGTATTAACTCGTTGAGTAAGTAACTGAACAGTGCAAACACTTTGTTCATAAGCTTGTTTTATTTGATCTAATTGTGATACTTTCATATAAAACTATAAAATAGATTTGAAATAAAAAAACTAAACTAATAATAATTAAATTTTTTACTTGATATTTTTTTCTTGAATCACTACTTATTAAAAATGTTTTTGCTATTTCTTGATGTAATACACACAATGGGTTTTCGGGAGATATTGATAATGCTTGAATTATTTCATCAATTGTTTCCTTACGTGTGCTTATTACTTTACGATTATCACCTAAATATTTCATTAGAATTCATAGGAAAAAAAATATGTTATTTGAATTTTACTCAGGATTTTATAGCCGGATTGACGAGAGCCAATTCTTCGAATGATTTGAATTTCTTTGCCATAAAGTTCAGGTTTAAATGCTTCTGGGCCCTCATTTGCTAAGGTAATAGTCAATTGAGCTGATCTGAATATAAAACAAAAGGTAAAATTTTACACTAAACAAAATAGATCTAAAAGAACTCAATGGTTTACTTGACATAAGTTATGTATTCTTAAAAGTATAGAAATTCAGAAAAATCTTTTTTTCTACAAGGTTCGCGGTGCTTTTACAAATGATCTATACTAAAGTAAAACATACGAAATTCTCTATTTTCTGCATCTGGAACGAAGCCATGAACTCACAGAATATATTTAGAATACCCTTTTCCCCTCTTTTCCGACTATATCAGATTGTCGAAAAGGATACAAAAGATCAGATTGAAATTTTTACCATAAGATAGAGTTCCTGAAATAAGGAGACACTTGTTCGAGGAAAAAAATTTTCAACAGAATTTTCCATAGGATCACATCATAGTACATTACGACTCTCATCGAATTTGATCAGATCCGGTTGAAAATTATTTTGAAGATACCTTAGACTATATCTCAAAAGTATTTTTGAGCATTTTCAAAAAATTCGGTTTTTTTATGAGAGAAATAAGTAAAGATTTGGAGCCAAAGTCGGAGTGTTGACTTTCAGAACGTTATAAATCCGAACAGCTTCCAAGTATCTCTAGTAAAAAATTTAGCTTGATTGAACAAAGTTAGCAGGAGATGGTTAATAGTCAGAATTGAGAAAACTGATTTTTTTCCGTTACACTAAGCGAAAGAAAATAATTTCAATACGATCATTATGCAAAAAAAATTTCTTGAAATCAAGATCTCAGAAAACAGTAAGTTGTTTACAGTCGAACAATGTCTGTAATTGCACATAGAATTTGAACCTATCATACCTTATGACTAACTCGAAATCGAGCATTTGGTCCAAAAAAACTGGGGAGAGTGCCCGTAAACAGAATTATACAGAACGATCAACTGTTACTAAAGCAGACTTTTTGTATGTCTAGTTTTCTATTAATATTTTTCCAATAAGTCTAAAGTCAATAATTATGATGTCAGATAATTTTCGAATTATCACTAATTGAAGCATTACAATTTGAATAAATCCGTCTTTTAATAAACTTTCATCATGACCATGCCTTGTATTTATATTATTCCTCTTATAAATATACTATTATAAAAATATTGATGTTTATCATTTGAGTCTAGAAACAATATTTTATTTACGTTTCTCCTTTTTGAATAAATGATTGAACGTTCGAAGTTCGTCCAGTAGTTCTTGCTTGGGCACCCAAACAAAGACAAACTGCATTTGCTATCGTAGATTTTCCTTAAAAAAACTAATTCGTAAGGAAAACTAATAACCTTTTTTCTATAATTTACCTGAGCCATTCACGCCCGTAACAATTTGCATATGTGTAGGATGAAATTGGATAGAAAAATTTTTATGACACATAAAATTGAGCATATGAAGTTCTTTAATCTGACCAATGCTATATAACTTCTTCTCGGCATTTATTATTGGTTTTCTTTTCTTTACATTAACTATTTCATTATTATTCATATCTGAACCCGATGGAATCAGTCGTTTATGATTTTGCATCATCTGAATCAAAAGAGTAGTATAGACAGAAAATATCAAATGAAAATTTTTCTATTTTCACATATTATGATAAAGAAAAAATATATAATTTGTAAATGATCTATTAGATCAAAGGATACTGTTCCTCTTTTTTCAATTCAAACATATCCGTTGTATCATTTAGAAACTACCGATCACTATGTATATATATGTATCTTGTGTCTTATGATGCAAGAATCCACATGATCAATTAATAAATTCAATTCAATCATAGACCCATTCGTCTGTAAAAACAATAGTTATATTTTCGTATTTACATGCATGATTAATCGCATCTCACCTTATATTCGAACGAACACGTCATATGAATGAATACTATACAAAACAAAGATAGAAAGGATGATGAATATGTTAAAATATAAAGGTCAAACAAGAAATACCGTCATTTACTGTTTTGATAAAAGTATTCAAAAGTACAAAACAATTGAAAGATGTCAGCAACAAACTGAACTATTTCCTTGTACAAGAAATAATCATATTTCACAGACTTGCATATAAAAATCCTCAAAAATATGTTGACTCAACATATTCCGTTTTTCTTTTTTCTATTCAACAGTCAACCATACAAGAATAAACAGAAGATATTTTCTATTTCGAAAGTACACAAAACAATGAAAGAATTCAAAAAAAAATAACGAACGCATAAGTGAAAGACGAAAGTTTTTAAAATATCTCAATTAGCTTGAATAAAGATGGATTGGTTGAGTTTTGACATCGAATTCATACTTTTGTTTTTTTTGTCTAGATGTCCTTAGTAACAAGACTTCATTATTTAAGACGTTTTAAAATTATTTGCATTGTTAATATAATTCATTTTCTTACAATGTATATCGAAATTCTGGATGACGATCTCCGACTAATTCATTTCCTCCATATCGTTTAATCTCCTGATTAATTTCTTCATTATTCATTCGTGATCGTTGATGATTAATATGTAAAAATATCAAACGAAGAATAACGACTAATATTGTTTGTAAAACCATAAAACTAAATGCAGTTGTATGACCTATAAAATATCGTGGTTTCTCTTTTGTTCGATATATCTGTCCTGATATTACTCCACCCAATGTACCAACAGATACAATTAATGCTGATGCAACTGCACGTCGAGTTAATGAAGCACTATATATATATATATATATACAATTACCATAGAGTATTAGTAGAGATTAAAATAACATATCACTTACAAATTATTATTGAACCAAACTATTTTTACACTAACATTGGAATAAGTACCACATGTTACAAGAATAATATCAATATAAAGAATATAAACATATTGTTGATTAATAAACATTAATAAGAGGAGACCACATATTGTTAATAGATTTGTAAAAATAAGATGAAAAGATCGTTCAAGAAAATTATAGAAATTTTATTTCTTAGACAAGATATATAAAACATCAACATAAAATACTTACTAATGTCCATTTCAAAATAAAAGAAGGGTGGTTGTTTTTCAAATATCTCTTCAGCAGAAAGAGCTATCGATCTGTGGCTTTCACCATTAGAAAGAGTCTGACATTCTGCATCTTTCTATATACTAGTTAATAAAACTTGCTCATAAATTTGATGAGCAGTCAGTGAAATTCAAAGAAGAAGTTAAAGTGCTTTGAAAAATGTATGGAATTTCAATTCTAAGGGATGCGCTAGAGTCATCTACTCAAGATCTACAAATCTACATAAACCCGAAATTTTTATTTTTTATCATTCAAAAGATATACATCTTACACTGATCATTAAAAATGCTGAAAACAGCCATTTATGAGTATTTTTTCAAAGTTTTTTTAATTCTATGTTTATCAATTAACAGTTAGGTTTTTCATCATTCTAAAGAGATATTCAACATATAGGAGTATGTTGTATCAGTATAATTTGCGACGAGAATACTCGATATATGGTGTAATATGATTAGTACTGGCTTTACATGACAAAGAACGATTTTCTTATAATATGAATAGTTTCGTTCAATTGAGAATGATCGAAAACCTAACTGTTAATTGATAAACATAGCATTAAAGAAATTTGAAAAAATACTCATAAATGGCTGTTTTCAGCATTTTTAATGATCAGTGTGGGGTGTATATCTTTTCAATGATACAAAATGAAAATTTTGAGTTTATTTAGAGTTGCAGATCTTGAGTAGGCGAATCTAACCCATCCCTTATAATTGAAATTCCATACATTTTTCAAAGCACTTTAACTTTTTCTTTGAATTCCACTGACTGCTCATCAAATTTATGAGAAAGTTTTATTAATTAGTATATAGAAAGATGCAGAATGTCAGACTCTTTCTAATGGTGAAAGCCACAGATCGATAGCTCTTTCTGCTGAAGAGATATTTGAAAAACAACCACCCTTCTTTTATTTTGAAATGGACATTAGTAACTCATAGAAGCAATATTGTTATTGGTTTATTACTAGTAATAAAGTATATAAAATTATTACCAATTCCCCAATAATAGTAATAAAAAGTAACACAGTAAAACCTCTACTAGTGAAAACCTCTCTATAGTGAAAACCTCGTTATTATTAGCGTTTTTCACGAGTCCGAAAAGTCAATTTTTGCTGAAATAGACCTCTCGAAGGTAAACAGCCGGCTATTAAGAATGTTTTTCAATAGTCTCGATTGTACTCACTCTAGAGAGACTTTACTGTAGTAATGTAGCAACCTTATTATTGATTTCCGCGTGTTGTAAATTAAGCAACAGAACATCTTTGAGATTTTCTTTTATTGGTAAACAAAAAATTCTGAATTTATCGGACTCGGAACCGTAAAGAAGAAATTTTTCGGAGTCGGAGTCGGGTCTCGGAATAAAACCACCTGACTCCGCAGGTCTCTAGTGTGTGGCTTATCTTAACACTTATCTCAATCTTAAGTATTACAAGAAAGTGAAGACATCTATCACAATATGTGTAATATATGACGGAGGTCAAAACATTCCCGTTTCAATTCAACCAACCCCTGAATTCTAATATACCCTAAAAAAACTTATTTTAATCAAAAAAAACAAAAATACCTGAATATTATCACTTGTTTACTATTTCTCCATCTCCTTAATACTTAAAGATCTCCTTGACTAGATACTATTGTTTTTAACCACATGAATTATTTTCTTTAGATTTTATTTTATACTCTATGCATTCTGCATCATCTTTTGCTTAAGTTTCCTCTAGTGTATTTAATGCGGTGCGAAGCACAGCATTTATGTAGTCGTGCGCGAGTTTTTTTTTTTTTTTTCTTTCTTTTATACTATACGTACGCATCAAAAATTGTCGTTTTGTGGCTCTATGATCTCATGAACAAAAAGTCGTAAAATAGTCGTTGAAACGGGAGCTTGAAGAGTCGAGATCGAATTCGTACCATTTTTAGCCGAATCATCTATAGAATCCATAGTTCGTCTACAATCGAAGCTCCAAAAACATAATTTTGATGGAGTTTACTTTAGAGATAATTAAAACGAAAATTCAAAAAAAAAGTTAGGCGCCAATTTGTTCAGTCATATATCAAACAGCTGTAAATACAGCTGATAGTAGATAATGAATCACTGACATAATTAATTGATCAATACAAAACAATTTGTAGAAATCGGTCGATACGCTTTCATAGAGTTTCTGAAGTGATGAATTTCATAATGGACGCGTTCATTTCAGATCTAGATGAGATCAGCTGTTTGATAAAGATGTTTGATTAAAACATCCTTGGTTATCTTAGAACCTTTTACGTAGATTGTGAGAACTAACTCCGATGATATGTAGAGAAATGATTCGATTTCGATTCGAAATTCGTTATTCCGATTCTCGGCGCGTGTGCTTCGCACCGCATTTCGTATTCGAGTCGAAACTCGAATACCATCTAGTTTCTTTTATTGTAGATCTTTTATTTATTTTTATTATTTTTTTCTTTAGTAAGTTTGCTTACAGCTACTACTGTTTATTTATTTTGATTACGTTTCATTTTATTTATTTAATTTTAGATATTTTTTTTTATTTATTTTATTTTAGATATTTTTTTTTATTTATTTAATTTTAGATATTTTTTTTTATTTATTTAATTTTAGATATTTTTTTTATTTGTTTAATTTTAGATATTTTTTTATTTATTTAATTTTAGATACTTTTTTTATTTGTTTAATTCTAGGTACTTTTTTTATTTATTTAATTTTAGATATTTTTATTTATTTATTTTACAAAGTATGTTTACATTTATTTATTATTTATTTTAGTTATGTGTTAGTTTTAGTTTGTTTGTATTTATTATTTTAGTCTTTTATAGTCTAATATGTTTATATATTTTTTTATTTCAATTTTGTTATGCCTCCTTTAGGTTTTTTTTTATTTGTGTTGTTTTTGGTCTAGTTTTCCCAGCTCGGTATTTGCAGATCCTTATTTTTGCTCTTTTTATTTTTTTAAATTTTTTTATAATTGGTTTTCTAATAAAGAATCTTTTCTCTAAAATTTTTTCTTTTATTTTTTGTGAAACACGATTTGAAAGGAGTGTTGAAGTGTTTAGGGGTAGAAATTTTGCACCTACCCCCACAGACCGTGACGGACACTTACGTGACCCATCACAGACCGTGACAGATAGGCTTTGGACTCGTCACAGACAAGGCTCTCGACCCATCACAGACCGTGACAGATAGTTCTCTGGGTCCGTCACAGACCGTGACAGCCAGGGCTCTGGACCCATTACAGACCGTAACACACAAGGCTCTAGATCCATCACAGACACGTCCCTGGACCCATTACAGACTGCCCGGGTCAAGAAATTTGACAGCAGATCTTGTACGATTTGGTATGAATCTTACAAAAAATCGTAGTCTCTGAAATCTTACATCAATTCTTATTGCAAGATTTCTATCAGATCCTACCGTCGCATAAGATTTTCTAAAATCTTACAGTAAGATTTGGCAAGACAACAAGATCTGTCAAGAGTCTTACAGTAAGAATTTATGTAAGATTTCAGAGACTACAATTTTTTGTACGATTCATACCAAATCATATACGATCATTTATGATCAGACGCAAAATCTTGTCCGATCTTAGTGTCTGATTGCTTGCCTTGGGTGGGACAGAGAGGTCTCTGGACCAATTACAGACTGTGACAGACAGATCTCTGGGCCCATCACAGACCGTGATAAACGGGATTCTGAGCCAATCACAGACCGTGACAGCGAGGTCTCTGGGCCGATCATAGATCATGATAGATAAGGCCCAGGAGTCATTATAAACTGTGACAGAAGACTTCAACCAAATATCAGAGATAATGTATAACTAACATATGGTTGGAACATATATGGAATATTGTCTGGTTCAAAGTATATAATGTAAGGTAAACCGTTATGAAGGAATGTATCCCAATATGCATAAAAAACAACAGCTTTTAGAATATCGGCTACAGCAGGTACATCATGTTTCACATTTTTAATCCTGCAAGGGATTGCGCTAACAGCTTCTTCTCTTTGGTCTATTGATTTACATATATGTACTGTTCTGTTCAAGATGTCTTCTAATTCACACAGCTATGCCGAAATTCAATTGTCATCAACGCCTCCTCCTCCGTCAACTCTTCCCTCCTCGCCGAGTGTATGTTATATTCTTTAGAATAATATGTTTTATTATTTTTTCTTTTTCTAGAGAGGGGGGTCTCGATCCTCCGGCAATTAGTCAACAGCGTCAAAGGTGGTAGGGATGCAACGGTGACGGTGGTTACCGGTGTGATCGGTCTACGGTTCACCGTTCACCGGTCTCACCGATCGGCCGGTTCACCGTAGGACCGATGCCACCGGCCCACCGGTTCACCGTTCCACCGGTATACGAACACCGTAAGCACCGGTCCCAATGTACTGCAGGTAAAGCTACTCAAGTTCAACTGAGTCTTATTAAAAATGAAGCTGACCATTTCCTAATCGAGAAATGCACATATATTTGGCATTCCTCTACTTTCTGCGATTTATGATCATACTTCACAAATTTAATAAAAAGTTTCTATATACTGACCGCTCCTTCAATACGATGCGAGCCGTAGGCGTACGTCAGACAACACCAGGATGCTCATATAGCTGATATTTGTTAGTGCAAGGCTGTCTAAGTATGAAAGATGCTAATACAAAAAACTTAGGTATGCCGCATGAACAAACACCTTTAAGGTCAACAATAGCTGATAGAATGTCAGAAACCTACGGTGATCGCCAGTTTGTAACATTCTACCGACTCATCAAAGCTTAGGATAACCAGGAGTACGCTTTTAATGTCCATCACCGGAAGTTTTCTTGACCTTATCGGTTCCATAACCGG